AAATAACCATGAAAATAATCCAAGTTAGTTCTTCATTTTTGGGTTTTGTTCTTACTTTAAAATTAAACTTTTGGACTCTTCGTCTATGTACCTAATAGGCAAATAAGTTTATCAGAAGAGTCAAGGCTGCAAAGGCTTCAACCTTAGAGTTGATCGGATGGGATTATGACTTGGGTATTATTACGGTTCTTGATTTTCTAAGGTTAAGAATGAAGTTGGTAGTGATAAATTGAGCCATATTGGTATGGGATTAAAAGTCGAGATATGATCGTACGTGTGATGGTTATTGTTGATGATTATGTAAGAAGTTGGGTTGTTCACTTGCACAATTGAAAACAAGGAAAATGTAAAGATTACAAATAAGAAAAGAGAGAAGGGGTTGGCAAAGGAAAGATGGAGTCTTTCAAGATTTTATTTACTTGAGTAGAGAGAGAGAGAGTAAGGGGAGAGAAAGGAAGGTGGAATCGTAAAAGAAAGATAAGATGATCCATTATTGAAAAAATAAAGAGATGTTTGAGGTTAAAGAATTGCAAAAAAAAAAAAAAAAAAAGGAAAAAAAAAACCTCATTAACTTAAATAAGTTTAAAATTATCTCTATCCCTTATCCAAAAAAAAAAAAAAACTTAAATTCAAGAATTTTACTTAATTTAAAATACCAACAACTGAAATAAGATGATAGGAAATTTAAAACTTATTGGATGATAACTCAACAAATAGACCTATAATATAAAATATGACAAAAATTATATAAAAAAATAAAATAATATAATTTAAAATTTATCAAAAATCATATATAAATTTAATAAAATTAAAAATATATATAAAATATTTTTTATATTTACAAAAATTATCAATATTTTATATGATATAAATATAAAAATTATTAGATCTACTTAATAAAATGATTATACTTCATGCTGGACAACATCCTAAATCTTCTCTCAATTCATAATTGAAATTCAAAACTTCATCCTTGAAAGGAGAGAGATAAGATTTTATAAAATCATGTAGAATTCCTTGTTTCAACTCATTAATAATTAATCTTGTTACTGATATTTTAATCCTTTAAACACGAGTCAAGGCGAGTATGTGGGACACACGTGAATAATTTGTTTCAGCGAGGGCGAGCTTGAATCTTCCCATGATGCCTGTGATGATTCCTTGGATGGATGTGACCATGTTTACGGATGTTGTTTGTAGTAATGCATGTAGACTACATACTGGAACACATTCATTCATTTTGTTCATCATATATACTTCCAATACTAAGTTGGCTAGCCTTTTTTTTTTTTGCCAAGTAACTAAACTAGCTTTACTTGTCATGAATGTGGGCATATTTGCGTGCAAGATTTCATCAAACCAGGATTGGGTTTTGCTACTTATTCAAACTTGCAAGCTACCATATAGAAGCTTTGAAGTTTGCCAAAATTTTTGATTGCAACATTTCAGGTTTAGGCTTTTTGACTTGGCTGTCTTGCCTTCAGCAGGCAATCCAAATCTTGTTTGGATTTTTTTACTTGAGGATCATTCATGAGTTTGTAAAAGCAAATTTCAATCCATATTCTTCACCATTTTGTTTTGTCAAAGCAAAGGGGGAGGCAAATACGAATGACTCACGCAACAGAAACAAACATTAGAAGATTCAATAAAACTAGCACATTTCAAAATAGCAAGTGAATTTGATAGAACCTTGTCAAACTAAGATACTTGATAAGTAGCATAATATAAGATTTCTATTTTTCTCTAACACGTAATTTCAATCAACCTATTTCCACCGACAATATGAAAATTCAATTTCTCATTTATCCACGGACTAGATTTCTAATTGTCAAGAATATTCTATGCGACTAGATGTGCAAATTTTCTTTTTTCTTGTTTTTTTAACCCCCTTTTTTTTAAATAAAAATATTATTAATTTTTTTAAAATTTTTTTTGGAATGCACTTGAATAATGTGCGATCCATAATCCCGTTTCCTTTGCTATCATGTGTTATTTTTTGAGTTTTACTTTTTTATTCTTTACTTTTCTCTAAAACTACTTAATAAATACTTTTAAAAATTACAATGTTTTATAGTTTTTTTTTAAAATTAATTTTTTATGTTTGAAACTCACTTCTGTCAAACTTTTTTTGTTTTTCTTTTTTTAACTTTTTTACTAAATCCACTTGAGTATTAAATTTTAGCATCCATACACTAATAAGAAATTAATCCCCTAAGAATTGATTATAATACCATTTTAATTATTTGACAATTGAATTAAATACATAAATTAATTGTAATGTCTCTCTTTCTATTATTGATTAAAATTACTATAATGTCCCCTCTTAATATAATTACTAAAACACTCTGTTTATCATAATTGACGAAAGTTACGATGTTGCCGCTACAACCATAATTATGAAAATACCCTCTATCATCATCGACAAAAATTATTATAATGTTATTTATATCATAACTACAAAAATAACCCTTCATATTATAATTAATCAAAATCACCATAATACCTTTTAACCATAATTATAAAAATATATCTTACTATAATAGTAAAAATACTCCTCATATTATAATTGGCTAAAATTCTTATAATATCCTTTAATCATAATTATAAAAAAGTCTTTTTTATCGCTTTATATAATATCTCTCCAACTATAATTATAAAAATACCCTTAATATTATGCTTGGCCAAAATTATTTTAATACGTTTAAGCATAATTACGAAAATACGCTTTTGCTTGCTTTGTAATTAGGCATTAAATTTTAACTTCCAACAATAATATGAAATTAATCTCCTTAGAAATAATCATAATACCCTTTTAGTTACTTGATAAATGAATTACATGCATTCAAATTGATTGTAATGCCCCTCTTTTTATGACTATTTAAAATTATTATAATGCCCCTCTTAACAAAATTACTAAAAGACACTTTTTCCCATAATTGATCAAAATTACCATAATATTCCTAAAAATATAATTATGAAAATACCTTCCTACCGTCATTTGTCAAAATAACTATAATACCCTTCCTATTATAATTATATAAAAAAAACTCATATTATAATTTAACAAAATTACTATAATACCCTCTAACCATAATTATGAAAATATTCTCTAACCATAATTATGAAAATAACTTTCTTATTATAATTGACTAAAATTACTATAATACCTTATAACTATAATTACAAAAAAATCCCTTTTTAGTTATTTATATAATGCCTCTCTAACCTTAATTATGAAAATACCCTTCATATTATGATTAGCTAAAATTACTACAATGCCTTCTACATATAATTACAAAAATACCTTTTTGATTGCTTTTTAATTTTGTATTAAATTTGAACATCCATACAATAATATGAATTGATTTCATTAGAAATGATCATAATACCCTTTTCATACTTGACAATTGCATTACATACATCCATTGATTGTGATGCTACTCTTCAATGATTAACTAAAATTACTATAATTCTCCTATTAATATAATTATTAAAATACTCCTCTTATCATAATTGACCAAAATTACTATAATGTCGTACAATCATAATTATGAAAATGTCTTCCTATCATATTTACAAAAATAACATTCATTTATTAATTTGTCAAAATTACAATAATACTTTCTAACCATAATTATGAAAATATGCTTTTACAATAATTATGAAAATACCCTTAATCTTATAATTAGCTAAAGTTACTATGATATCCTCTAATCATAATTACAAAAATTGCTCTTTTGATTGCTTTTATATAATGCCTCTCTTATCATGATTTCGAAAATACCTCTCATATTATAATTGGTCAAAATTACTATAATAACTTCTAAGCATAATTACGAAATATCATTTTAATTGCTTTATAATTACACATTAAATTTTAACATTTATACAATAATATGAAATTAATCTCTTTAAAATTAATCATAAGGCCCTTTTAATTACATAATAATTAAATTATATGCATCCAAATTGATTGTAATGCCCTTCTTTCTATTGTTAACTAAAATGACTATAATACTCCTTTAAACATTTTTATTAAAATACCCATCATATCAAAATTGGTCAAAGTTTATATAACATCTCTACTACTATAATTACAAAATGTCCTCCTACTATAATTTATCAAAATTATTATAATATCTTTATTATCATAATTATGAAAATACCCTTCATATTATAATTTGTCAAAATTGCTATAATACTCTCTTGTCTGAATTATGAAAATACCCTTTTATTGCTTCATAATTACATATTAAATTTTAACATTCATACAATTATATGAAATTGATCTCTTTGAAAATTATCATAATACATTTTTAATTGTTTGACAATTGAATGATTTATTCAAATCAATTATAATATCTCTGCTTTTATAATTAACTAAAATTATTATAATGCCCCTCTTAACATAATTATTAAAATATATCTTTTACCATAATTAGCTAAAGTTAATATAATATTCTGCAACTATAATTATAAAAATGCCCTCCTAGCATCATTAGGCAAAATTATTGTAATACCTTTCTTATCATATTAAAATTATTGGTTTTTTTCCTTAAAAAATTAAATTAAATAGGTAATGATATTAGTAAAATTTGATTCCATAGTAAATGGGTTTGAATTTAATAACTGATCGATGTTAATAATAGATAAATATTATATTAATAGATTGGATTTTAATAATAGATAAATATTATATTAATAGATTGGATTGTCACAAATATATTATTAGATTTTGATTTAATTTATATAAAATTTTAAAGCACTCTCTCTTATTTTAAATAAAAACCGATACCTATCCAATTAAGATTAACACAATTTAAACATCTGTTTTTTAATATTTTTTTCAAAAGATTATATTTTAAAAAATAAAAAATAAAAACCAACACAATACTAAAAATATTATTTTTTTATTATTAAAAAAATATAATTTATATTATTTCAAAATAAAAGATTTATAACCTGGACCGGGTAGTTCTTCTAGTATTTTCGAAACTACCTATCCAAAACAAAAATTGGGCAGTCACTCTCTCATATCTTCCAAATCAAATATACATTGCAGCTACCCTTGAAGTGAACTCTTTACTCCTGGAAAGGCTTACCAATGTTTTAGGAACTAACAACTAACAGCTACAACCATATATCAACTTCAGGGAAGAGAACACGTAAAAAAAGAAAACAACATATTTCTTAAAATTTCATATGAGAAACAGAGAGAACCGTTTGAAGTTTGAAAACAACGCAGAATGTCTAGAAGCAACAACCTATGTTTGACCCACATGAAACAGATAATAACTGTGCATAGAAATAGAGGGTGCCATTAAATGGATGCTAGAAGTAACCATTGAAATCCTTAGTCTAGCAAATCAGAGACAGCAGTCCTCCTGAATGCATCTACTTGAGCCAATTGTGTAGCTAAAGCTTTATTTGGGAATATATTATCTGCTCTCATTCTCTCCCTGATCCCATAAGCTGGAGCTTTGGCATTTATATACGCTTGGACCAGAGATTGGAACTGTCGAAATCGAGCTGCATATCCAGCCTGTCTCATTCTATGGAGCATTTTTTCAGAATTATGGATATCTCCCCTCTTAGAATACTGATCCATAACAACCGTGAAAGAACTAAATAGGGGTTTAATTTGGTTCTGCTGGCATGCCTTCTGCAAGATCAAGTCAGCCTTTTCCACTTCTCCTGCTTCCACATAAAGCTTCACAAGAGCATCCCAAGTCAATGGGCCAATCTGGAAGCCATTGTCAGCCATTTGCTTAACAAGATCCTTCCCTTTTTGCAGCATCTTATGGTTTGAGTATACCTTCAAGAGTGCAGCATAATACCTTGCACGAATCTTCTTTGATGTTTTTAACATCCTATCAAAAACTGCCTCTGCTTCTTCAATTTTACTTAACTTTCCCCAAGCTTCAATAGCAGCAAGATACTCTTCAAAGCGGGGATTTGATTCGCACACCTTCCAAATTCTTTCTACTTCATCAGCCTTTCCAAGATCTGCATATAGAGGAAGCAAAAACCGGCAAGCCCAACGATTCTCTTTTATGTTGTCCCCTTCCATCCCCTTTAAAACTTCCTGAGCTTTTTCCATAAGGCCCCCTGAAGCATAGTGCTTTGCCAGGATGGATTTTATATGGATGTCTGGTTTAATACCTTCAGCCTTCATTGTCTCAACAATTTGATCCATTCCGGTTATGTCATTAGATAAACCTTTTGTGTCAATTAAGATTTTATAAGTCAAGAGTGAAGGTTTGACATTTTCTTTCTCCATTAACAACAGCACATCAGCTATTTTTCTCTTGTCACGCCTTTTATAGAGGAGCAATAGCTGGTTGCAAGCAAATGAAGTAATTGGGAATTCTAGGTCCTTCATTTTGTTAAAGACCTCCTCTGCTTTCTTCAAATTGTCAGCAATAACACAGTTAGCCAGCATGGTTCCATAGATTACCTCTCCTCTGAAAGATTTTGGGACAGTCTGAATGTAGTATTCTGCCTTTTGAAGACCACGTGCTTTGGCAATCAAATCAAGGCGAGAAGCATAATCTCTCTCAATAAAGTCAAGCTGCTTCTTGGTCTCCAGCCACTCAGAGAGCTGCAAACAATCAAATTGTAAGCAAACAGATAGGAAAGAACAAAATGCAATTAAGTCAAACCTACAACTTCCTTAACCAAAGTCATACACAATAGAATATCATTTCAATTTATGCATTTAAAAAAATATCAACTAAACCAACAAAATGGAATAGGGCCAAAGGTGCCTAAAACGGGGTGTAGATGATATTCTAAGATTAGAGATATTTCATGAACTATCCTAGAAAATTCATACCATTTATTCAGTAGACATTTTTGAGACCACAAAAAATGCAGTGTAACAGTTAGAAGCCAGAGCAAGTTAAAGTAAGTTGCAACCAAATACTCTGCGAGCCTTCAGATAATAACAAGCAAAGTGCAAAACGGAAGAAAGACTTTTCTTATAAGAGGGTATACAACTGTCTCCTAACTAAAGGAAAAAGAAAAGTGAGCCAACCTCGACGGAAAATATTAAAACCAAAAAAAAAAAAAAGAAAAGGAACAAATTTTCAGAACTTTTTTGGCGCCAAATTTGTGCACAGGATTGATGAATGTACAAGCAAACAATGCATCCTGAATACATACACCAGAGCATCAATAAGGTAAAGGGAAGGGGGGAAAAAACAAAACCGAAGTTTCTATATACTTATGCGACATTGTATCAAAAAGAGAGGTAAATAAAGGTTACCAAATATTTATTTATTTTATATGAAATGAATTGTACTTGTGTTAAAACATTCAAACAAGAAGTTTTACACACATGTTACCGATATTAGTAAGTTCATGGCATCCAACACATATGTCAAGCAATTGCTTAGTGGATATACTTACAAAAGCCAATGATTGCTTCCGCATATATGAAATACTATCAGCACAAAGTTGATTTTTTTTTTCAGCACAAATTTTGACAGAAAAATCATTTTGTATGCTTTACTATTTAACTTAATACCATGGAACTTTAAACAATCAAGTAATGTTTGCCTTTATGGTAACAAATAAGATACATAATTAGAAGAATAAAAAATAAAAGTTCTCTTCCTTTCTGTATTGAAGAAAAGGAAAACAGAGAAAATGAGAAAAAAAAAAAAACTATTTACTAGTTGCCATTCAGTGGAATGAAAAGGGGAGTTCTATTCAGTACTTTCTGAAATATCTAAAGCCATTCCAACAAAATTAAAAATAGAGAACTTTAAAAATAAAACATTAGGAGGGAAAAGATCAAACAGATATGCCTAAATCATATTTAGGTATACCCTTTTGCACTTACAAAAAAAAAAAGAAAAAGAAAGAGTACGCTATATATGAAGTAACATAAAAAAGCTATACAATTTATTTAAATTTTTTTATAAAAAAGTTATTTAAATAATTTGCAATACAGAAAATTACCAGAACTCTAAAATCACATTGGGATCAAAGCCTATATGCAGAGAAGTTAATTTCCTACACAAGGTGACCACTGTTTACTGGAAAATAAATTCCCAAAAGAGATGCAATGGATAAGTCAAATCACCTGCAACGCCCTGTCATGCATTCGATGCTTGCGAAGACTGAGCATTGTTACTGCAATCACAGCTCTGCTAAGATCTTTTCCTTCCTCAAGCCACTTATCAAGAACCTTATGAATAGAAAGACCTGGAGCAGAGATAATAGCTTGGAATAGTTCTGATGCAGTCCTCCTTGTGGATGATTTTTTATGACTGACATCAGTCTCAGCCTCTGACAATTCCAGTTCATTTGAAGCAGTTCCTTCAACATCTTCCTCATCACCAGATGGTTCTCGATCAGAATCCAGTCCATCTTGGGTTTCATCCTGAGCATTACGATTTTCTTTGGTCTCAGCATTAGCAGCTGTTTCAAGTTCAGAGAAACCATCTTCCAAGTCATTTTCCTTCCCACTGCTTTCTGCACCAGCTTGGGAAGAAAGGCCACACCTCCCAACAGGTAAATTAGAGGAAGCATGTGTTGAATGGTAAAATCTCAATAAAGATAGACGTTTATCAGATATTGTTTGAGATGACTCGAAAATAATAGCCTTCTCTTCTATGTAGTTACTCCAAGTTTGTAATCTAGCAGAAGCAGCATAAGAAGCTCCAATGCTGATCCTTGTATCCCTGAAACCAGCCAAAAATTCATTGGCCACTATTTCAAACCAAAAAGCATGAAAAAAAAAAAAAAAAGAAACAGAAACATATTTTCTACGCAGTGAATTCAAAAGCTTAATGTAAAGTTCAAAGAAAAATGAGAAAGAGAATGACCATTGATGAAACTTTTTGTTGAGATTTCATAAATGGACAATTAAATAAAAGCACGACCCAATCAAAAATAAAAAAGACATCTATTTGGTTTCCATGGTATTTTAGGACTCATTATAATGACAGAAATGATATATATATATATATATATATATATATATATAAAAGGATTGTTATAATTGTTTGATACGTGTATGAACAAATTCAGAGTCTTAAACGGGTAACAAAAAAACTGAAGAAATTAGGGTCAACTCATCTCAATCATATCAATCAATTTTTAGCAAATTTCTAATACTCGAAAGTAAGCATTTTTCATGTCAGTAACACAGGCATTTTAGTTATGGAAGCAATTGTCAGGGAAGTAAGAGCTGGGTTCACTTTTAAGTTAATTCATTTCTACCAAATAAAACAGACATATATATACATATACGTCACAAAACCCAACATTTCTAATTCCCTTTCCTTCTTTTTCTACTTGCCGGTTTTCAAGCTAAACAAACATATAGAAGAAATGATCAGCTTATTAAACCCAAGAAAAGAAAAACAAGTATAATGCAGACAACATATATATACAAAATAGAAAGAGAACAGTACTTGAGAGGATTAGGAACTCTGCGTAGTGCCCACATGTTGAAGCAGCAAAGAAGAAACAGTCTCTGTCTGCTTTAAACCCTAAAAACCCAAGGTCGAAGGAAATTATTGAATTAATCTTTTTCCGTACGGTAAAAATAAAACAAGGTATTATTATTAGAACTTCCAATTGGGCTTTTAAAGGTCCAAGTAGTCATAGATTTTTAAAGGGGCGAATAACTCCGGTTTCGAAATTTACCTTTTTACCATCCGTGGCGATTTAAATTCCATCATCAATATTAAAAGAGTTTGACATATATTCGTATACTAATAATTAATTCATTCTTAATGTATTTTATTCTATTTTACTAGAAATTTTTTTATTTTTTAATTAGAATTGGCCGTTCATGTTTTTTTTTATTTTTTATGTTCAATATATATAAAATATAAATATATTATATTATAATTTATATTGACACATTAAATACGAATTATATTTTTTAATTTTTATCAAATTTAAATATTACTTTTGTTAAAATTTTAAATCATATTTTTTTATATAATATTTTTATATTATATTATTATATCATATTTTAAATTATCATATTTATCATATCTTAATCCAATTAAAACCCCACATCCTATATCCTTCCAAATCCAATAATTTATTAAACTTTTTTGTCAACCAATCGCTATTTGACAAAATGAAAATCAATTGAGTTGTCCTTCAATTGATAGTTATCTCCGCTTATGGATAATTTTTTATTATATATGATTAATTAATCTACATGTAAAAATCATATTATTACATTTCATAATATTCATGTAAAAACAGTATCAATTAATTATATATTATTTTAAAAATATATAAATTATCTTTTATTCTTAATTAAAATTTATTATTTAAAATATTAAAAAAATTTAAAATTTTTTCAATACTTTTTTAAAATTCTAAGAAAATTTCTTCATCTCAAAATTATTTAAGAAACCAATTCATTTTCTTTAAAAGGCTCCATTATTGAATTAATTTAAAATTTTATAGAAAAAGTTTAATTTTATTTTTATTTTACCCACCTTTATTATTACTAAATATTTTACTAAAAATAAATAAAATATTTTTATTGAAATACTTTCAAAATCTTTCAAACACTTTTGGTAAAATTCTAAGAAAAACTATCATTTAGGAATTTTAAGCTTGTAATTTTCTTTTAATTTCATTATTGCAATGAATTTTATTTATTTCTAGCTTTTTTAAATTTGGATGATACAAATAAATAAATAAATAAATATAATTATAAAAAATTTTACAAATTTATTTGTCTAACACATTTTTTTGGTTTTTTTATGTTGTCAAATGATTAAAACATATTGCTAATATAAAATTTAAATATGTATGTAAATAAAAAATAATATAATATATAATAAATAAATAAAACACAAAATAAAATAAAATAAAATAAAAATACCAAAATGAACAAAAATTGGTTGTCATGTGTCTAAAGCAAAGAAAAAAAAATACCAAAAGTTTTTTGCCCAAATAACCCTAGTCAATTTATTTAATATCTTAATTAAACCTTTAATCATTTTTATGTGTTACATTAAGTGTCTTTGAAATTAAGGAATATCACATTTGGAGATAACATTAATATCTTGTTATAAATGTCTTCAACATTATAAAAGAAAGCAAAAAAAAAAAAAAAAAACTTGTTGAGGGGGCAAAAAAACTAACTATGGTCGAGATGAAAACTAAATGGAAGTCGTTGAAACCAGATCGGATAATTAAATATTTAAGATATCGGATTGATAACTGATTCAATTGCTAGGTCAATTGAGTTAATTTTCAAACCAATAAAGATATTTAAAAATATATAAATATTTCAAAAAGTTAAAAAACTATGTGATAAATAATAAAATTTTATTATAAATAATTTCATAATTAAAAATTAAAATATATAACATAATATAATCATTGTTAAAAAAGTATATATATATATATATAATAAGTTTAACTTTAAAATAAATTTAAAATTCAAACTCTTATCTCAAACTCTCAAAATACTAATAAAATAATTCATTGTATTAATTTAAAGAACCAAACAAAAGTAAATACTCTAAAAAACTAAAAAACACAAAAAAAATCTAAAAAAAAAAAAAGGAAGAAATGAGAAAGTGACTTTATTTTTTTAAGTTGATTTTTAAGTATGCATAAAGGGTAAAAGATGGCAACATAATTTTATTTAGATTTAGATTTTTTTATTTTTAGTTTATTTTAAAATATATTATTTTAGTTAAATAATAAACAATCCATAATGTCAAGTATAAAAATTGAATTAATTTTAATTTTTAAAATCATTTTATTAGCAATTTTAAAACCCGACTAGTTTAACAAAATTCAATCGATTCACAGATTTGTTATAGTAAACACTGAAAAATTGAAATTACTGCTTTTGATAAATCTAAAATTTTAAGAAAATGCTTTAAGGTGTGTAATAGTGCCACTTTCCTTAAGGTTTTATTTACTTCCACCATATTATTTACTTAGTAAGTGTGCAAAAGGGTTACAGATAATAAATCTTAAGGATAAAATAAAGCCTAATGACTAACTGCATTTTACATTGATGAAATCAATCTACCAAGCAATTAGCAGTGTATCATAAGATCACTGAACTTATATATAGGTTTTTTATAGCAAAACTTTTATAAAAGAAATCTAGAGTTTGAAGAAAGAGGGAGAGTTTCAAGACTTATTTTTTATCTATTTTTAAAAAATCAAATGAGCCTTTTATAAATAGATAAATATATTTTCTTACAAATATGACTATCTATTTTGAATAAACAAAAATTGTTTTATTTTTAAATAGTTAAAACTATTGATTTTGAATAGACTTATCTCTTTGTTTTGAACAGACTTAGCTATCTATCTTTTTTTTTTTCAATGTGGGATATTTTTCATATTTTATTTTAAAAATCTCTAACAATCCCTCACCATTTTTAAAATAATCCAAATTTATGATGATTTTAGAAATCAATTACATAAATGAATGTATCTTCTGGTTTGAACCTTCACTTAGTGAAAATAAGTTAAAGGTAACCAAAATCAAAATGTAGACTATGCTTTGAACTAGTTATTCCATTTGGTTAACCGAACTTATCTTATACAATTATTTCAACACCCAATGAATGTTTGGTATCTAGTAACACATATATGGCCATGTGTTTGCATCCTCTTTTCATGAGTGTTGTTAGAGCCAAGCTCTTAAACTCCTAAAAGTGGCCACATTTCACACTTATATATGTAACTTTCATCAACAGTGTTCTCATAACTATAACATTTTAATATATATATATATGTTATGGTTCTATTAAGAGTATTTTACTTATCATTTTTTTATCATTATGGGTACTTAGCATTTTACTTGGGATGGAATTAAACATAACTACAATGCTAATAGTTACATACAAATGATGTACTTTGTCTTATTGTACTCAAGACTTAACGTTATACTAAGCGTTGAGTCAAGTTTTTTTATCATGGGTGACTTTACTTCATGAGCTTGAGCTTCATCTTTATTGAGGTCTTTTTTACCAACTCTCTAGTAAGACTTTTGGTTAAAGGATCCACTAAGTTTTTACTTGACCTCACATAATTTATAGTGATAACTACAATCTGAAATTAATTATCAAACATAGCTATGTCTTAATCTAATATATCTAAACTTTTCATTATATACTTGGCTATATGCCATTGCTAGAGTTGTTTCACTATCACATCGGATATAAATTGGAGAAATTGGTTTAGGCCATAAAAATACTTCATATAATAAATTTATTAGCTATTCAACTTCTTAGCTATTGCGACTAATGCAAAAAACTCAGCTACCATGGTGGATTCGTTATGCATGTTTGTTTCTTGAAACTTCAAGAAATGGCACACTTATCGAGCACAAAGATCCACCCGTTTCTAGAAATATGATCTTCTATTTTAGTAATCCAACTAACATTAGAATATTTTTCTATAATTTAAGGATATCCACTATAACACAATCCATAATTGATTGTTTTCTTCAAATATTGAAGTATTATTTTAACTGCTTGCTAATGCAAGCTACTTGGATTACTTATGTACTTACTCAACTTTTTAACAGCAAATGCTATATTTGGCCTTATACAAGTCATTGCATACATCAGATGATCAATTACTCTTGTATATTGTAGTTGATCAATTGTTTTACTAGCATTAGATACTACTTTCAGTTGAGAATCTATGGGTGTAGATACTAGAATACAATTGAAAAAATCAAACTTTTTAAGTACTTTTTCATTATAATGCGATTGTGACAAGGTTATGCCACTATCATTCTAGATTATTCTAATTTCAAGAATAACTTCCGTTACACTCATATATTTTATATTAAAGTTATTTGATCAAAATTTCATTGTTTTTTTAACTTGTTCTGAATTTGTGCCAAATATTAGCATATCATTCACATATAAGTAAATTATGACCCCTTTGCCACTTTCAAATTTGCTATATATACACTTATCTGACTCAATAATTCTAAAACTATTAGCAAGAATGATTTCATCAAACTTTTGGTGCCACTGTTTTGGTGCTTACTTATTTCTATACAAGGATATCACAAGCTTGCAAACTTTATGCTCATGACCTAGAGTGATAAATCCTTTTAGTTGTTCCATATATATTTCATCTTCTAATTCACCATTTAAAAATACCATCTTTACATCCATTTGATGTATAATCAAATTATAAATCAAGGCAAATGAAATTAGATGCCTAATTGTAGCAATTCTAGCTATTTGAGCATAAGTATCAAAATAGTCTATGCCTTACTTCGTGTAAAGCCCTTGGCTACTTACCTTATTTTAAATTTATCTATGGTTCCATCCATCTTCATTTAAAAAAAAAAAAAATCTATTTTCAACCTATTGGATTAGAACCTGGTGGAAAGTTAATCAAAATCTTAGTGTTATTTCTCATTATTAAGTCAATTTTATCATTTATTGCTTCTCTCTAAAAAGTAGAATCTTGAGACTTCATTGTCTCTTCAAATGTAACAGGATCAGACTCTACATTAAAACAATAAGAAATTTTATTGTTTATGCTTTCACCAATCCTTTCAACAAGGAATATAAAGAAATCTAGTCCAAAATCTTTTGCCTTTCT